CCAGGAAGGATTCGAAAGTGTCTTATTTTTAATAGATCTAGTTTTTGCACTGTGTTTTTCAACCACACACACACACACACACACACACACACACACACACACACACACACACACACACACACACACACACACACACACACACACACACACACACACACACACACACACACACATATATTTATATACATGTATACATACATATACACACTTTCATTATTCCCAAAACTTGATAATTATTCCATAAGTCTATCACATGTATGCAAATTCAGTACAAGCAGCCAAAGGATATTATTTGACCAGCGACAAGGGCATCGTTTAATGTAACTTCCGGAGCACAGATTTTCCTCCAAGAAAAGGAAAATGCAAAAATAATGCACTATCTTCGAGCGAAAAAAGAACCAAAATAGAGATGCAGAGACTTTAAAAGGCGTCTTGAAGAGAGGACCACGACAGGGAGAGGACAGAGACCGTTTCAGAAGACAGCGACCGTTTTAGAAGAAGACAGAGACCGTTTCAGAAGACAGCGACCGTTTTAAAAGAAGACAGCGACCATTTTAGAAGAAGACAGAGACCGTTTTAGAAGAAGACAGAGACCCTTTTCGATAGCTGTAGTGTGGCCGGTCCATCAATACACGGTGAGCGGTCCCTTGGTGGTCATCAGCCGCTCTTGCTTGAACAGGTCCGATATCGAGGAATAATGTGACCTTTGGCGAAGCACAGAACACGGTTACATTGCTTGTGTATCTGATAATCAATCTTTGTAAGACGCATGTAACAAAAGCAATATTGCGCAGAACAATAAACTGTATTTTCCATCCTATGCGATTTCATTTACTTAAAAAGAATGAAAATACAGCGGACTCTGCATGTCTTCATCGATGGGGATCTGCCTTAACCAAATCACTGAGGTGCCTTTGGTGTTGGTCAGCCGGTCCAGTGTTCATATTTTATGCAACTTTGCTTCTTTAACTTTAAAAGCAGGTTTCCACACAGGTGACGGCTTCTGCAATTCAGTATTCTGTGGAGTTCGTTGCATGGTCTGTCAGGAAAGCTATGGCTGTTTATTATGGCTGATTAATATGACTTTTCTTCGCAAAAAAATATTAATAATGATGTTTGCATGTCCTCATTTATGCATTCATGAAATATCACATAATATTTCATCATATTGCAATTGCACTTAAACATATAGAAAATACTTTTGAATAACGGATATCAAATTTTATAGATCTAAACCCTTTTTATTCCCTCTGCTATATTGCTGGACGTATGTTAGATAACTGACCTAATGTAGGTTCTTTCATTTGCATGACAACCCGCATGATATATGCAAAACCGGCTGACGTCACACTACAGGATGGCCAGGCAGGTAATTTTCATAGAGAGAGGAAAACCATTTTTTTTTTTTTTTTTTTTTTTTTTGCAGTTTCCATTTTCCATTTTGTCTCGTTCCAGTGTCTATATACTATTCTTGATGAAAGTTTGAGTTTCATGTATTGCTATTTTTTATTATTTTTAGTGCATTTACCATATCATAAATAATTCCTTTCTCTTGCCAGTGTCATTATTATGTTGTTGTAGATGCAATTTGATTAGCACTGGAATCCAAAACTTTAAACACAAAATGCATGACATACGAGGTCTATTATAACATTTTTTTTTTTTTTTTTTGAATACGATTTTATATTCCTGTTCTCGAGGTAGTATTAAAGCATATGCAATGTTTACTTAACACAATATGCATTGTTAATTATAGTAATTTTAATACAAATAATGTTGATATGGAGCTGGCCCGAAAAAGAATCGTAACGATAATGATACTGATAACAATCAAGACAAAAATCGTGATAATGATACCCATAATAATAATAATAAAAACAAAAATATTATGACACTATACATTATTGTTATTCATCATCATCACCATTACCACCATCATCAGACACCTCTACCTTAAAATCTAAACCTTATGACTTCAGAGAATAAAAAAAGCAGTTTATATTCCCGAGCAATCACTAAGCTACTGAACACAATTGCTCTGTGATTGCATTGCAACGAAAGGATAACGTCCCGCTGCTGAACAGTGAAGATTGGAAAGGGAATGCACAAGAAATGCAACATATTGGAAGTAATTTTAGTTTTCGTGGGGGAGGGAGAAACAAAGAAAGAGAGAGAGAGAGAAGGGGGGAGAAACAAAGAGAGAGGGAGAGAGAGAGAGAGAGAGAGGGGGGGACAAAGAGAGAGAGAGAGGGGAGGGAGAAACAAAGAGAGAGAGAGAGACAAACAGAGACAGAGAGAGGGGCTAAGTGAGAGACAGATAGCAGGGAGATGGAGGGAGGGAAGAGAGATGAAAGAAGGGAGGGAAGGAGATAGACAAATGAAGAAATATATATAGATAGATAGATAAATAATAGAGAAACGTGTTCCTTAATGTTTCCTTCCTCATTTCTTCAGTCTTAACAACCACAACAATCTAGATAATAATGTCTAACTCCTTAACAATATTATTAACGTTTTCTTGGGACAATGTAAGCTGGTAATCCTTTAGTGTCATTAGAGACTTAAAGCAAATAAAGATTATCAAAGCAAAGCAAATGGAGCAAATAAAGATTATCAATGTGGCACAGAGTTGCAACAATATATATCAGAGGCAATAGAAAAGACATGATATATATGTTGGGTCGTGGTTATCGAGAACTGGTATGACATTCCAGAAAATATGAAGTGGTATATCTCATAAAAGGGATCAAATCATATATATGTTTTGCACCGACGAAGGGAAGGGCAAGAAAACACACGAATATGCCATATTCGTGTGTTTTCTTGCCCTTCCCTTCGTCGTTCCCTTTGCAATCTGTTCAACATGATTTCCACACATGTTTTGTACCGTAAGAAGAAAGTCAGTATATGTCTTATATACGTTTTTCCAATGTTTTCTTTTGACATCAGATCACTGTCGATCATGTACGTGGGTTTTATGGGGTATTTTTAGTAAGAATTATCCGAAATGTAACGATTTATTTGTCTCATATTATTACAGGTGGGCTGATACATACCTGAATTGTTTATTTTCGTTTATTACTTTCACTCTAATTAAGAAATTCCTCATCACCTATTTACTATGCCACTGCATCTAAAATCCAGCCAAAAGAATATAATTTATATACTTTGTATATCTCACACCTGTTGCGATACAGGAGCTAAGCCCCTATGTAAAAATAGCAGGTAATTCATTTATAAGTACGTAATCATTTTAGGCAGTACCATAGTACCATAAATGCAGTGTCAGTTCCAGTGTCAATTACGTTTATCCATGATGTCATGGTGGGGGGGTGGTATGGCAGAGGGAAGGGGAAGGTATATGGTAGAGGGATCGCATGCTGGATGGTAGAAGGATGGTGGGTCAGAGTGAGGGTATGGTGGAGGATTTGGCTATCATAATAGTGATGATGGTGATGGTGATAGTGATGGTGGTGATGATGAAGATGATGGTGGTGGTGGTGATGATGATGATGATGATGATGATGGTGATGGTGAGGACGAGGACGAGGAGGAGGAGGATAATGATAATGATGATGATGATGGTGATGGTGATGATGATGATGATGATGGTGATGATGATGATGAGGATAATGATAATAATGATCATGATTTTGGTGATGATGTATAATAGGAAAAAAACTTCCATACCACTGATAATGACTGTATCACCATGACCTCGTTTCCATAATGATGAACAAGATCACAACAACATAACCAAATAATACGTCTATTTAAATAACATAAGGCTATTCAAAAAACACAAATCTATCCAAGTAATACAAGTTCTATTCGAATAATACGTCTATTCAAATAATTTAAGTCTAAATAATATGTCTATTCAAGTAATACAAATCTATTCAAATGATACAAGTCAATTTAAATAACGTCCCTTCAAATAATACAAGTCTATTCAGATAATATGAGTCTAATCAGATAATATAAATTTAAATCTATTCAAATAATATAAGTCTATTCAGATAATATGTCTATTTAGATAATGCAAGTCTATTCATCTTTTTGGATAATACGTCTATTAAATAATATAAGTACATTCAGATAATATAAATCTATTTAGATAATGCAAGTCTATTCAAATAATACAAGTCTATTCAGATAAATGGAAATCTATCCAAATAATATGAATCTATTTAGATAAATTGAGTCTATCCAAATAATATGGCTTTTCAAATAATACAAATATATTCAAGTAATACAAGTCCCTTCAAATAATACAAGTCTATTCAGATAATACAATATTCAAATTATGTCAATTCAAATAATACAAATACATTTATATCAGTCCGACTCCATTTACATTGCCACGAACGTATTGCATTGCACGATTGCATTCAAATTACATCATTATCAAATCATACTTTCATCAACATGGAAAACAATTAGAGATAACAAGAGATAAAAGAAGAGGGTAGATATAAGGACAGAAAGACAGAGAGACATAAAGAAAGACAAAAAGACAGGCAGAAATAGTGACAGATTGACTGATAGAAACAATGACAGACAGATAGAAATAAGGTCAGACAGACAGATGTGAACAGTAAACAGACAAAGAAACAGGCAGACAGAAATAATGACAAACAGAATGACATGAACTATATATAGAGAGAGAGACAAAGAAACAGACAGACAGAAATAACGACAAACAGACAGACATGAATGATAAACAGTCAAGGAAACAGACTGATAAAAATAACGACAAACAGACAGATGTGAACAATAAACAGACTAAGAAACGGGCAGATAGAAATAACAATAAACAGACGAATAATAAACATACAAAGAAACAGACAGACAGAAATAACGACAAACAGAGAGACATGAACGATAAACAGACAAAAAAAAAGACAAAGCAAAAAAAAAAAAAAAAAAAAAAAAAAAAAAAAAAAAGAGACCCATATTAAACTATATGACAAGAAGGCGAAACAAAACGAAAAACTCACCTGGGGAATGGAACAGACAGCGGCGATGGACCAAGCGAACGACAGCATCATTTTTCCTCGTCTTTGGGCATCGTTCACCTGACGACGCAAGAGGACACGCGATCAGTTACATTAAAAATAGATAAATGAATAAATAAATAGGTAATTCTGAATAATCATAAAATTGATGCGTAATATGAGGTGTTATACAAGACTAGGAATGATAACAGTAGTAATTATTAAGTTTCAGTTTGGTTATTGTTTTGTTATCATTCTCTCTCTCTATTTCTTTCTTTCATTCTCGCTCTCGCTCTCTCTCTCTCTCTCTCTCTCTCTCTCTCTCTCTCTCTCTCTCTCTCTCTCTCTCTCTCTCTCTCTTTATATAAATTTTACTGTTAGACTAACATGAATTAGTCACTTGTATACTTTGTACCAGGAACTAGGTTAAAAATAACGATGCTTCTAAATGTGACCTTATATTCAACTGGATGTATCACGTTTAACAAAAATAATAATACCGCTTTCGTTTTATTCTGAAGCAAGCAGTATCTTGAAGAATTAATCGTGGAGATTATTTCAAAATTGCCTTTAGAAACGATGACAATAAAATAAGTATATATGACGAGATTGGATTCTATAAATGCCTGCCTCATCTTTTTAATAAACAGCTGTAGCTTATTGATAATAATTTTTACGAAAGAATGATTTACTGGTGTCTGTAGCTCTTTTGCTCACTCGACAAGACTCTCTGTTCGTGACTCAGAATAGCCGAGATGTTCTTAAAGACAAAGTACCCAGTTTACAAAGACACACTGATACAAAGCGTATTATACCTGATATACAAGAGACACGTGACACAGCATACCCACACACGTAGACAGCGCAGATGACCCGACACAGTATTAACCTCTACATACATTTTACCCGGCGCAGTATCCCTGACATACAGACCTAAACCTCTACATACATTTTACCGCAGTTTCCCTGACATTCAGACATGAACCTCAACATACCTAGTATCCCTGACATTCAGACCTAAACCTCTACATACATTTTACCGCAGTATCCCTGACACACAGACCTAAACCTCTACATACATTTTACTATCCCGACTCTACATACATTTTACCGCAGTATCAGCAGTATCCCTGGACGAGTATCCCTGACATACAGACAGCATACCCATCGAGTAATCTGCTTTAACCATTCTGTATGCGTCGCTAAAGCACGAGTTGGTATGTGGGTGGCGTTCCCTCCCTGATTCAACAGACTTGACATCACAGTAAGCCATCTCTTTGAAGTTGTTACACGCACCGGGAAAGCAAACTTAACCTAATTCTACAAGACTGGCTGGGTTTCTGTGGGAGGTTGTGTGTGTATGGCTGTTGTGGTTTGTTTGGGTGTAGTATGGTTATTGTGGCTTGTATGGGTGTCATGGGTGTGTAGTTATTTTGTATTGCATGGGTGTAGTGTAGTTATTGCGGTTTGCATGGGTGTAATGTAGTTATGGTGGTTTGCATTTGTGTCGTATAGTTTTTGTGGAATGTATGACTATGGTATGGTTATTTTGTAATGTTTGGATGGAGTATGGTTCTTGGGCATCGTTTGGGGGTATTATGATTATTGCTTATTGTTTGCTTGTAACATGGTTATTGCGCAATGCATGGTGTAGTATAGATATTGCGTATTGTATGGGCGTAGTATGATTGTGATTTGTTATTTTTTCTGTAGGTGTAGTACGGTTATTGTGTAACGTATGGGCGCAGCATGCTCATTCCGTGTTATTGCGTAATTTAAGGTCATTTAAGGTCACTGCGTATTACATGGGTTTAGTATGGTTATTGCCTTATATCTGGGTGTATCTACGGTTAGCGAGGAAGGAACATGGCTTCGCGATCGCCCATTGTTCAGATTAGTTCGGTAACCGTCCCACGTATAGAGTAAGGATTCTCCCGAGAAACTTTATGAAAAACCGGATTATGTCATTCCTGGCGGGATTACGAATTATTTTCTTAGATTTCAATCGTTAATCGGATTTCACTTTTTGTCCTTTATGCAGGCGAAAGACACATTTAAATCCCTCTTTTTTTTTTCTTCACTCACACCCAGTCACTCCTACACTCTCATGAGCATCGCCACTCCCTCCCTCGCCCTTATACACACATCCACGCATTCATCCACTCATCCCTTCTATTCGCACATTACTTTATCCACTTATTCGCCCACTCACTCCCCTGAACCCTCACTCGGTACCTGCATATTTGCATACGAGGACCAATTAGCGAGTAACATAGGGGGGGGGCGGTTTTAGATCTCGGCTGGACTTTGCAATGAACATGTGGAAGTTCCGCTATGAGCATAGTCCTTATTAAGCCGAGTGCAATGAGCTAACGAACTAACGTTAAATCATGGAAGTATATGTATATTGTATTAGTTTGTCTGTCTGTATGTCTATGGGTTTGGCTCTGGCTCAATGTGTCTCTCTCCCTCTTTTTTATCTATCTATCTGTACGTATGAATATCTATTTACTTATCCATCCATCTAGCTATCGATACGAACACATACATACATACACACACACACACACACACATACATGCAGACACGCACACACACACACACACACACATGCAGACACACACATACACCACACACACACACACACACACACACACACACATAATACATAATACTGTATCATTATGATTATATCAATAACATATCATTATCATCACCATCATTATTATCATTATTATAATTATCATTATTATTGGTATCATTACTATCATCATTATCATTATTTTTTATTATTATTATTATTATTCATTATTATTATTATTAATTATTATTATTATTATTATTTATTTATTATTATCATTATTATCAGTTAGTAGTATATATCATTTTATTATTATTATTATTATTATTATTAATTATTATTATTATTATTATTATATTATATCATTATCATTATTATTCTTTTATTATTATTACCATCATATCATTATAAATTTTACTATCATCATCTTATTATGATTATTATTATCATCACTATTATCATTACTATTATTATTATCATTATTATCATTGTTATTATCATTAATCACTATATCATCATTATTTTATATTATTATTATAATTATTATTTATTATTAGCATTACTATTACATTATTATCTTTCTAATTATCATCATCATTGTTATTATTATTATCATGGCCGTGTTGCCCCCGCCCGCCCCGCCCCCGCCCCCCCCCTCCCTGCAACAGAGGCCGACCTCCTCCTCGTACCTTGAGCGGGTGCACGATGGCGAAGTAGCGGTCGAGGCTGATGCAGACGAGGACGAGGGACGAGAGGTAGAGCCCGAAGGCCCGGAGGAACTGGAAGAGCTTGCAGGCGAGGTTCCCGGCCACCCACTGGGTCGTGATGCGCCAGCCGACCTCGAGGGGGAAGTTGATGAGGGTGACCATGAGGTCGGCGGCGGCCAAGTGCATGATCATGAGGTTGACCCGCGACTTCCGGTGCCTGTTGCGGAAGAGGGTGATGAACACGGTGAAGTTCCCGATGGCGGCGACGATGAACAGGACGCAGTAGACGATGATGTCCGTCATGGCGTTGTCGTCGAAGCCCAGGCTCGGCGGGAGGGCCGTCGCCGTCGCGTTCATGAGGAAGGAGCCGTTCCCCAGCAGCGTGGCGTTCACCTGGCAGTCGGAGCCGTCGCTGTTCACGAGGCAGTCGCTGTCGTTGAACGCGTGCTCGAGCCAGTTGCCGGGGGAGGCCTGGGGGAGCTGCCGCCGCACCGTCACCCCGCTGCCCAGGGCCACGTCCTCCACCTCCGCCTCGAAGTCGTCCAGGTTCTCCATTTTTTTTTTTTTTTTTTTCCTTTTTTTCGACCGGTTTACGGAGTCGAGTCAGCTTGGGATCCCAT